TTCCCATTTTAAAAATATCATCTATGCTTAACTCTTGCTTTCCTAAACATCTTAAAGCTTTCCCCCATTGAATGATGTATTGTTTGTAGGGTACCCAAAGTAACAGAATAGAGCAAATGGAAAACAATTCATTGATGTTCTGTTTTATAAAATCCATTTCTAAATGCATTTGGTAAAATTTCAAATTTAGAAATGCAGTTTCAAGTTGCTAATGGAGCCATTTGTAGACTAGTAAATCCTCTTTGTACAAAGTGTTATCCTTTGGAACATTTCAATAAAGTGGCTTTGAGGAAACTTGAGTAAAATAAAAAATGTAAATATTTATCTTATCCCTTTTCCAGTAGTTGTGGAGAAGGCTGGAAAAGATTAGTGCCAGGATCCCACTGCCCTTTCAAGAATGTGCTGTGAGGCCTCACAGAAGAAACACTGTCAGATAAGGCTGGTGTTTAGGGATCACCCCCTCTGTCTGTGCTAGTGAGAGATCTGGGAACAAATGCCAGCCAGACCAAAGGATGGGGGTGGGGAATGTATATCTAATATTGATTTAGAAAGATGTCGGTACATCTTGAAAAGTATAAAACGTGAACCATTTCAAACGGAAACCTTACTGTCTCAATCAATACATAGACACACATGCAACTTTATGATAATGGTCCCGAGACCTGGAGAAATAGAAGAATATACCATGCTCATGGACAGGAAGACTCAATATCAGGATAATGACAGTTCTACCAGAGGCAATCTACAAATTCAGTGCAATCCCAATATAGATACCAATTCCATTCTTCAACAACTGAAAAAGGCAATTTCCAGTTTCATCTGGAATGGAAAGACACCCAGAATAAGTAAAGAACTCCTGAAAAAGAGACACAAGGTAGGAGTATCTCATGCCCTGATACTGGTACAATGACAGACACATAGATCAGCGGAATAGAATTGAGAACCTGGAAATCAGCTCGTCTGTCTATGGTAAACTCACCTTTGACAAGGAGACACAATCAGTTAAGGGGGGGAAATGAAAGCATCTTTAACAAACGGTGTCGGCAAAATCAGAAAACTATCTGTAGAAAACTCAGGCAAGACCCACACCTCACACTATATACAAAAAACCAACTAAAAAATGGTTCAAGGACCTAGGAGTAAAACCAAGGAATATAAACTTATTCAGAAAAAAGCTTGAGAGAACTCTAGAAGCCCTAATCCACGATATGAATAGTCTTCCAAGCACTTTGAAAAATCTACAACCAAGAGCGAATAACATAAACGAATGGGACTTTCTAAGAATCAAATTCCTATGCACATCAAAAACCTTCTGTAACAGGATAAAGATGAAACCCACAGACTGGGAAAGAATATTTGGCAATGACATATCTGATAAGGGACTTATATCTAGAATTTATAGAATACTTCAGCACCTCAACAAGAAGAAGGTAAACCACTCAAGCACAAAATGGGCCCAGGATATGAACAGACACTTCACCAAAGAAGACAGTCAGATGGCAAATAATCACATGAAGAAATGTTCAAAATCCCTAGCTCTCAAAGAGACGCAAATCAAAACAACTATGAGATATCGTCTCACTCCAGTAAGAATAGCAAAGTTCAGCAGAGCAGCAAACAGTAACTGCTGGAGAGATGGTAGAGAGATTGGAATTCTTATTCACTGCTGGCAGGAGTATAAAATGGAGCAACCACTATGGAAGGCAGTATGGCACTTTCTCAAAAGTTAGAAATACCATTTGACCCAGCAATTCCACTATTAAGAATAGACCCTAAAGAAACTAGAACTGCCACCCAAGCGGATATATGCATACCCATGTTTATTGCTGCATTGTTCACAATAGCAAAGAGATGGAAACAACACAAGTGCCATCAACAAAAGAATGGATAGAAAAACTGTGGTATATTGGTGCAATGGAATACTATGCAGCACTGAAAAACAAGGAGCTTATAAAATTTTACACAACGTGGATGACCCTAGATGATATTAAGCTGAGTGAAATATCTCAGTCACAAAAGGACAAATACTGCATAATGCCATTGTTATCAAACAGGACTGACATGGGGGTTACAGAGAAACTAAGAAAAGAGGGGATAATGAATACTGCATTGGAACAGATGAAGGAAAGAACTGTTTAAAAGGAATATGTTGTTCCATTTTTCCATTGAATTGTTTCGAATTTGGAATGATTGAAAACAAAGCTGTTGTAAACAGTGTTATATATAAAAAAGGAATATGTTGTTGGTTTTATGTGCCATCGAGTTGCTTGCAACTCATAACGACTCTGTGTACAACAGTTCTGAAGCCTGCCCCATTCAGAACCAGTCTCACTGACTCCGACAAACCTACCCTCATTACCTCAGTAACTATCAATCCATCTCATCTGGGCTCTTCCTCTCCTGTGCTATTCCTCCACCCTTCCAAACATGACGTCCTTCTCCAAGGGCTGGTCCCTTCTGGCCACATGCCCAAATTATGTGAGGCAGAACTTCAAAGTCCTAGACTCCAAGAAGAAATGATCAGACATTATATGTATGACAACAGCCAAGAATAAGAGGTGCGTTGAGTAGAGGACTGGGGGGAGGGGAAAGGAAGGTAATTATGCAGCAATAAAGGAAAATTTTTTTAAGAGGGGAAGAGAGGGAGAGGGGGTAAAATGTGTAGGAATGAATGAATGAATGAATGAATGAGTGAGTGAAAATTTAACTTCTGTAAACTTTCTATAAAATCACAATTAAAAAAATTATTAGAATACCAAAAGGATTAGTGGAAATGAGAAAAAAAATATTCTCTTGCTGAAAATTAGCTATATTCTTATTCTCAATATTATTTTATCTTGATTTTTTTAAGAAATGGCATTGCATTTTTTTACATCTGTATATATTTTAAATATGTTCTTGTTGTTATGTGCCGTCGAGTCGCTTGCAACTCATAGTTACCCTATGTACAACAGCTCTAAACTCTGCTCTGTCCTGTGCCGTATGTGGAAAATAGGGTTTTTTTAAAAAGTTATGTACATCTAGACTTTGTTTTAAAAAAAATGATCACAGATTTAAACTTGAGGTAACTCGTCCCTGGGTTTCTGAGGCTGTAAATCTTAAAGAGAAGAAACTACTTCCTCTTTCTCATACAGTGAAGCTGGTGGGTTTGAACTGCCAACCTCTAGGTTAACATCCCAATACTCTATACAAAGGATCCTTATAATATTATGTTGCTGCATACAAAAATTGCAGCTTTGGGAAATAAAATTGTTTAGTCTGCATTGTCATCGTTAAAGGTAAGGGGAAAAATTAACAGAACTTACAAGTATTTTTAATATTCAGAGTAGGAACCCTTGCAAGTAAGGAGTTTATTGTCAGAATTCTAACAGACTCAACTCTTGCTATCATTGTGTTGTTTGAATTTGTCTTCTGGGATCTAAAGAACCTTCCTGTCTGCTGTTTACGAGCTGTTCTCACTTGTGTACTATTATTTGTCCAGTGCCACTCACTGCTTCTCCGTTGTGAGTGGGAAGAGGACATTAGAGTTAACCAAGAATATTAAATTTTGAAATAAAAGAACTGTCTTTATTTAATCATCTATTTTTGTCCAGAGGACATACATTTCTTTTTATAATGGCTGACCTAAGACAAAGCTGTCCTGTCAGCATCTGTGTCACTTGTTGGTCCTTGGAAACGCTGGTGGACATCCCTATCATATGCAAATTTGGGGTGATTAGTCTGCCAAGAAGTTCCTAGTGCATGCTTTATTAAAAAAGAAGAAGAAGAAGAGGGTGTCGGCCAAGGAGAGGGGGGATGTGTCTTCCTCACTTGGCTTGAGTTCCACCATGGGGATTAACGTCATCCTCAGCAAAGTGCCTCTGATGGGGGAGGCCCAGCAGGTAGCAGGGGACCGTGCAAGCTTCTGAGCCCCATGAGTACTCCTGCCACTCTCAGGTGTGTGGTCCAGACAGACGGGTCATCTGTATGCAGCATGCCTCAGAGATGCGGAGAGTTCGACCTAGACCCTGGGTAGGGCGGATGTCAGCATAGCAAAGCCCCTGGCGCTGCTTGGTTCCCTCATAGGGGTCCAGGTTGTGTGGGTACTCTACTGGAGCTCTGGTGGCCTAGTGGTAAGGACTTGTGGTGCCAACTCAAAGGCACGCGGTTCAAATCCATCAGCTGCTCCACAGGAGAAAGCTGGACCGTCTCCTGCCCTGCCATCTCTGGAGTCAGTTCTCACTGGAGGCCACCTGACAGCAGCAACAACTCCTGTAATCTGTGTGGTGTCCTCATGAACGAGTCTGAGGCGTTGAAACATGACAGGGAGCTGAGACAAGCAGGACCTGGTGGCACGCCAGAACACCTACTTCCTGTAGGGGCGCTGAGTGCCACCAGCACACAGCCTGTCAAGTGTGGGACACTGCCGGACCAGATGGGACAGCCATTCAGCAGGTCCCGTCATGCTGAGAGGTCTGGTCAGGAAGACAGGATATCCCAGCATGCCATCAGCAGTCACCAGCCTCCCTCCCTCCACTCAGTGGACTGTCCCAAGTGACGCGGCTGAGACGGGCGTAGTCAGCAGCACTGCCCCGAAGGTAACTCCTCTGCCACTTCTAATCCACCACGGCTCTGCGGGAGAAAGATTGGCAGTTCCTCCTGTGATAGCAGCAGTCTCTGAAACACACCTGCATAGTCAGCTCTGGGTCGGTTGCACCTCAACAGGACTGACTGGGTGTTTGAGGCGACCAAGTTTCCTAAGACTTTTTCTGAAATTTGAGACGCTTGAGTGGGTTTTTTGCAAGTATGATGACACTTTAAAATAAAAATCCAGATTGGTATACATAGTATATGCAATTGCTGTGACTTGCAATTTTATAGCATGTATTGTAAATATGTGTATATTATTCAAAATTATATAATAGAGAAACACTTAGAACAGGCTAAAAGATAAACACTTATAATCTAGACCATCTAATACAATTGTATTAAACAAAACTCTCCTTTTTATCTTTTTATAGCCAGTTGGTGCTTTGAACCCTAAGCGAGCTGTGTTTTATGCTGAGCGGTACGAGGCGTGGGAGGATGATCAGAACCCACCCCACCACTATAACACGCATTATTCCACCGCAATGTGGACCTTATCCTGGCTTGTCAGAATTGTGAGTATCGACATTAATGGATAAATTACGTTTAATACATTGAAGATTTTAACATAAGAAAATGGAACAAAAATAAAAAACACTTGTTACTTGTTCCGAACAGAGGTGATAAACTACTGAAACAGAAAATAGAGATTTCTCTGCTCACAAAGAGAGAGCTCTGATGGCTTCGCAGTAAGGAGTCGTCCTGCCGACTCAGATGAACACGGTTTGAATCCACCAGCCGCCGAGCGATGTCCTGCCTCTAGAAACACACAGGAGGGCCGGCTGTGCGTTGGTTCTGACTCCATAGTACTTAACAACAACCATTAAAAACCTGTGTGTTTTCTCCTCACCCCCCTTTAGTCGTTCCAAAAGGAAAATAAGAATAATTAGGAGTTTTTTAATTTTTTTTGCTTCTCGTGAAGATCTCTGACCTCAGAAACCCGCTGGAGGGGCAGGCGCTGTGAGTTGGGATGAACGAGGAGGGTTTAAAAGCCAGGCTGACTGCCATTGAACATGGATGCCTCTCCTGTGCCAGGGCACAGTGAATTTTTTCTCTTGTTTTAAAAAAGTATTTTGTATTGGTTTGCATACAAAATTTGTACACAGTAAGTTTCACACCTTCTCTCATTCACATTGTGTTTCATCTAACCATTCTCATACATGCCCACCGTTACCTTATCTTATCAGGTCCCCACCAGATCTTTCCCATTTCCTGTACTCCATCCTCCCTCTGCCCATCTCATTGTGCAGCCCTGTGACTGCCCACTGCCTGTCCTCACCCCTCTGTCCCTGCCCTCGCCCCTTGGACTCCCAGACACATTGTACTAGCCACCCTTCTATTTTCACCATCGTGGTCTTAGGCAGTATTTATGAGACTGAGTTACTGCACTCAGCATAATGTTCTCTGGGCTCTTCCGTGTTCTGTAGTATTTTACACAATCATTATTCCTGAGTGCTGCATAGTTTTCCATTGCATGACTGAACCACAACTTCTCAGTCTGTTCTTTTGTTGATGAGCATTTGGGCTGTTTCCATGTTTGTGCTATTGTGAATAACACTTCTGTGAACATGGGTGTACAGATCTCCATTTGTGTCTCGGTTCTGTTTTCCTTGGGCAAGATTTCTAGGAGAGAAAAAGCTGAGTCACACTGGTTTCTGTGTTCAGCTTTTTGAGGAAATGCCAAACTGTCTTCCAGAGTGGTTGTACCATTGTACAATCCCACCAACAGTGTAGAAGAGTGCCTGTCTCTCCACAGCCTCTCCAGCATTTATTGCTTGCTGTCCATTTATTGCCACTGCTACTGGGGTGAGATGGTGTCTTATTGTGGTTTTGATTTGCATCTCTCTTATTGCCAGTGATTTGGAGCATTTCTTCATGTGTCTGTTTGCCATTCAAATATCTTCCTCTGTAAAAAGCCTTCCCATCTGCCCATTTATAATGTTATCACCCTTGTTGAGATGTGATTGCCAAGTGTCCTCACTGTTTATAGTTTTCTTTTCAGCACACACAAGTTTTCAGAAGCTGATTGCTAGGTTTTTCTTCTCTATCTCCTAGGTGGCCTTGGACCTCTAACCTCTGGGTCAGCCCCAGACTCTTAGCTGCTGTGTTAAACAGCCTGAGCGGTTGTGAATGAGACGGACTTGTGGAGTATGTCTTGGACTTCTTTGTCCCTCACATCTCTCGCCAGTGGTTGGCACCACGAGTGTTCACTCTCTCCGTTCCTGCAGAAGTGCTTCACCAATCTCTTGGCCTTTAGCCTCTTTTCTCCAATGTGGTCAAGTCAGGCAGTCTGATATTTTTGACACACACTCTGACTTGCTGAGGAGGGCTGCACAATGCTTAGTCAGGTCTCTGAAACAGTATCGTCACTGATGTTTTCCTGTTATCAAGCGAGTCCTCAGTGCATCTGTCATTCGAGGGTGACATGCCTTAACTACATGCTGGTGAAGCTGTTGTTATGTGCTCTTGGATAAGTGGATGTACCTTGTCCTACCTGTTGATACACTTGGACCCATTGCTACAGTAACATCAACCCATCTTGTTTGGGCCTCCTTCTTTTAGGTTGACCTTTTACCTTTCCAAGCATAATGTCCTTCTCCAAGGACTGGCCCCTCCCACCTACATACCCAGATATGCGACATAGACTTTCACTCTCCTTACATCCAAGGAGCACCCTGGTTTCACCTCCAGGACAGATGCCTGGTGGTCTGTGGACAGTCTTCTCCAATGCCACAACTCAAAGACATTGATTCTTCTGTCATCCTTAGTTATTGTCCAACTGTCAAATGCATAGCAAATGACTGAGAAGACCATGGCTTGGCTCAGGTGGACCTTAGTCTTCAGACTAACCTCATTGTTCTTTAGAGCTCCGGAGAGTCCCTGACAGCAGAGTTTCCAGTGTGATACATCTCTTCATTCCTAACAGCTGTGTTGATTGTGTATTCAAGTAACACGAAACCACTGATGACTTCAGTCTCTTCTCCATCTATCATGATGTTACTTGTTGGTCCAGTGGTGAGGAATTTTGTTTTCTTGATGTAACCTGGATAATATAGGTTGAAAAAGTTCTGCATATAGGTTGAAAAGGTATGGAGATAGAAAGCATCCCTGGCGTACGCCCTTCCCAGTTTTGAACCATGCAGTGTTCCCTTGCTCTGTTCTGACGACTGCCTCCTGGTCCAAGTATAGGTTTCAAATTAGAACGATCAAGTGTTCTGGGATTCCCATTCTTCTCAGAGACAGCCACAGTTTGTTATGATCCACGCAGTCAAACGCCTTTGCATAACCAATGAACACAGATAGACATTCCTCTGGTATTCCCTGCTTTCAGCTAAGATCCATCTAACATCAGCTACAATATCCCTAGTACCACGACCCCTTCTAAACCCAG